CATTATTTAGGGGGGGCCCCTAGAATAATGTCTAGAGATTTGAGGCTCATTGAACATCTCTCAATCCCCCCTTCCAATGCTGTTGCTGCTGTTGCTGTTGCTGCTTCAGATGTCCATTGAAATTTTGGAGATTTCCATTGAGATTGGATGCCTTTTGATGGAGATTTCCATTAAACATTTGAAGATTTCCATTGAGATTTGATGCTTTTGGAGGCTTTTGGATGGAGATTTCTATTTAAACTTTGTAGATTTCCATTGAGGTTTGATGCTTTAGGAGGCTTTTGGATGGAGATTTCTATTAAAACTTTGTAGATTTCCATTGAGATTTGATGCTTTTGGAGGCTTTTGGATGGAGATTTCTATTAAGAAATTTGAGATGTCCTTTTAATTTAATATTGCCAGAGGTCTTCAAAGTTAGGAATTCTTATTTCCTTTTAATTTAATATTGCGAGAGTAGCTCCAGAGGTAGCTAGCTAAGGATTCCTTATTTAATTATCAACTGATTGATTTTCATATACATTATTTTGGAGGCCTTGGTTGTTGAGGGGGGGGGGGGGGGGGGGGGGGGGGTGTAAATCAAGGGACTACATTAGTGAAGGTTCGGTGCCTTTTTTGGAGGGACAACGATAGAGGAACACCTTCAGGGTCATGGTCCAAAACCAACTTTGCCAACAAGTGAGAATGACTTGTAAGCCTGCCACTGTTGAAAGCAAGGGGTGATGGTACATGGATTCTGATGTTGTGTAGCAGAGGAAACCTACTGTAGCTTGGCCAACAAAGCCCGCAAGAAACAACACACACTAAAGAAACACATCACATCCCATGAAGATGGAAGAACTTCCATGCAAGGGGACCGACTGGGGACCGACGTCAGATATCACCTGCAGACCCTGGGGACCGAGGCTGAAACCCACGAGGAACCTGCAGAGGCTTTTCCATCCGGGGGCTTTGCGGGGGCCAGGAACAAAGGACCCCACGTGGCAGCCAGTAGAAGGGAAGCAGTTTTTGATGAAAGGTCCAACCTTGGACAGCCATGTAAGGGCATTCCATGAGTCAGGTGATCGGTAATCCCATTGTGGAGCACCATGTTTACATTGATCCGCCCTTGATGAGCATTGTGAGGTGCGTAGTGCTTAGTCACTTCAAGCAGGCTGTACTGGATTGTACACATGATGGGCCGCTTTGAAGAAACCAGTTGCCCCCAGCCTCCTGCTAATGGATGAACTGATCCACGAGAAGTACAAGAATGGGAGGTCACCAACTCTGGAACAGCAAACTCAGACAAACTACAGGTCCCAATGAGGGTCTGATCACATGCTCGGCATGTTGTCACACTTGGAAGTGGAAGTATCGGGTCAATATGTTGACTTGCTCAAAGTGAAACCCGCTGGACATTTCTTCGGGCAGCAGAATCAAGGTAAGGTGTCACACAGTAACGGAGCTGATGTACAGCGTTGGTGAATAATTATGTGTAGCAACCCAATTAATTTGACTTCCTTGATCCGGACCAGTTGGCAACGGACTTCAAACACAGGCCACAGGTGCAAGGCCTGGTGCCCTTAAGAGACTGAGAAAGGTTGGGTGCTGACTTGGAGGTGATGGATCCTGAAGGGTTTCAGTCTAATTTTCCGGAATCATGTGTGTGTGTTTCTTTTTTTTAGCTCATTGCTTCCTGTTTTTTTGCATAAAGCATCATAGAGCTAATTGAAAAGTGCTCACAACGCTGGTGCCTTTGTGGGCGTCAGCGTCCTTTGTTGCATGGTTCCAAGTCGTTCCTCAAGCCCCTTCTGCCTCAACTGCTTGGTTTGCCCTTGCCTCAGGCCTTAACTTAGGTTCTTAGATCAAAGGGAAAAGGAGCTGTCCAATTCCCAGGACACTATATTCTATTATCAATCTATTATCTTATGTTTGTCATACATTCTCAATAGCCACTACAGTCTACTCGTGTCTATTCCACCAAAACCCCATCAACGCAGAGAAAACTAAAAAACACGGCTTGTGCCCAGTGCCGCCTGCCAGTCGTTGAGAGCAACCGTTCAGGATGCCGTTCAGAAGCGGAAGAAAGAAAAGAGGTCCGGGCTGCTGAACTGTTTGTGTTTATGTTGTTTCTTTTCTTCTGCGGCAGATTCCTAAGAACCGGACCATTTGCTATCCATTTGCTATAAATTTCACTTGGATAAGCAAGGACCCTGGGGAATCTTTCGGACTACTTGGAACGAAACCGGGCTGATTTTGGGGGGGCGGTGCTGCAGGCATGTTTGGATCTCGCTGGGTGGGTATTGAATTCGTTTGGTAGAGTGTTTGGGTGAATTGCATTTAGACATGATACAATATGTCAAACACAATATTGAGATGCAAGCACAATTGCTGTGACAAAGTTTCAAGTACGAGATGCTAGTCAGATTTCAACGGTTCTATAGTGCTAGAGGATGCCCTCTTTCTGACTGTAGTGCCAGGATGTGCCAGGTATATTGTAGACAAATAAACGGCGCCAAGGGGTCGGTTTTGATCGGAGATTCGTGAAGTATTACTGCAGTCTATTGTTTTGGTTCGATGGCATAGTTTACATTCTAGACATATTGTTTGTTGGGGTCAGTTGCAGTTGACATTGTTTTTTGTACCGTGTAGAACATGGTCCTGCTACTGCTGCATGTTTAGAAGTTACGACTAACTTTGCCACCAAAAAAATCTTAGTACTGTACCCCGTTGGAAACGCTGTTGACAGTGCAAAAACCTTGACTATATCAAGTTTTTGATCACATTTCTTGCATACATATCATTTTGGTTCATCGATTTGGAAGGGCTCAAGCTTCACCCCCACACCCTAAACACATATTCCTGCATGGGGGTCACAGGATCCTTTCATGCTCAATAGAAGTTAGCACCCGCCGTGAGGGTTCAGGGTTGCAGGGAGGCAATTCCATCCACACGGTGGCAGAGATCTCATGGATCTCTAGTACCTATTTATATCAGACCTTCCTTCCTCGTGCGTGTTGTCCGAAGGTAAGGTTGTTGGTTGAAACAAAGCGCCGTAGCTGAGCATCCCAACCCAGGCTGTGCTGTTGATGTTGGCGGTGCAAAATATGTTTAAAGATATTCACGATTCCAACCGCCTTCAGGAAGAAAAAGCAGGAGACAGAAGATGTTTGGGAACTCGGATTCGCAATGCAAGGGCTGGATCACGGGAATTGGCACCAAAGTTTCATCGTTGGCAGCTCCTTGGCAAGAGTTTTCCCAGAAAAATTCACTTTGTGCACAGCCCCTCTTATATTGACAATGTTTCCCAGCTGCTTGGCCCCCGCTGCCCTTTCTTGTGTTTGTCATTGCCATAATGCGGTCATGGGGTTAAAGTAGAAAGCATGAGAAAAGGAGATCCTCATCTGATGTTGATCCTTATGCCAGGAATGTGAAAAGGGCGTTCCAATTTGTTGATTGTCCAACTACTACCGCTGGGAGTGCAGAGTAAGAACTGTGAGTGCAGTTCCTTCCATGCATAGCGTATGAAGCAGATGGTACGTCATATCATGCATGTTTTTAGTTTTGCTATTGTTCCCAGCGGCATCACCAGCTAATTTGCACAAATATCCTGGGTACAACCTTGGTGGCCAACCAGAGTAGCTTGCACTTGTCAATGTTCAAAGCTGTCACATGAGTCGTCAGACCAGCAGAGTAAACCCTGTCTCCAAGATACTCATACAAAGCCCCAACATCAAAGCTATCAAGAAGAAAACAGCATGGAAAGAAATAAAACCGCATCCAGTACATCCAGTCTCGTGAAGATGGACCTTTCACAGACTCACGAAGACCCCCAAACCCCACCAACCACAACGCACCGAGGCTGAAACCCACGAGGAGCCAGCTCCAGAGGCGCCTTCTGGGGCCGAGACGTCCGACAGCCGACCTGGGAATGTGTCAACCCAGGCTTGGCACAAGCCATCGGGAAGCACACCGGAGCCAAAGCGACCTTTGCGTCGCCTCCAGGCTTCATTCCTCAGTTGAACAATGCGTAAGGAGAATGGTTGGGGTCTATGCTGCCTCAGGTGAATTTGCTTGCGGATCTCCTCGGAGAGCGAATCAAACCAGTAGCAAGTCTCATGATTGTGCATGCTGTGGGACACAGTTGGCGTTGGAGACGCAGCTGGTGGACGGTTGGGAGCCTTGGCTCCTCTCCACTGGCTGTAGTCCAGACGGGGCACTGCCCCTCCTGCTGACCGCAGCGGGGGGGTTGATTCTTCTGGTACCTCATTGTTTGGTCCAGAGATGAGAGTCCAAACGCATCCTATCACACCTTCTTGGATCCGCCCGATTGGCCGACGCCGACTCCGAACGATCCAATGGTGTAAAGTCCAGGGTCACTCCGGTAATCATGGCAATGACTACGCTGACCACCTGGCAGCGCAGGGCAGTGCTGGAGATCAAACGCAAGCCGGGGGCGGACCCCTGCTGGTTAGGGGTCCCGGCTCCATGCGATCCACTCACCACCGTGCTGGCGCTGTGGGCAGGTCTACACCGGCACGTCATATGCCCATAGGTTGGCTGGTCACAAGGCACACTGCAAAGTTCCCAGCCCTCCTCCTCCACACCTTCTCATGATGTTCCAGTATGGTGCTGGCTCATACCGGTGTGCTTTGTTTCATCCTTGACTTCAGGCCTACGTTTCATTGTTGGACAGCTATGAGGCGAGCGCCTTGGTCGCAAAGCTCCTGGCAATTTGGCCCGCAAGACCCTGCCACTGATGATGATGCCTCGATGCTGTTCCAACTGCACTTGGACGAGAGGGTGACCAAGTTGGAAGAATGGAAACAGGATGTGGACAAGGATTTTACGTTCCGCATGGAGGGATTCGTGAAAGTTCAGCAGAAGTGCCATGAGTGCCACGCTAGCCGCACCCCGAACAAGTACTGGCCCCTAAAAGAGCAGTTGGCAGAGCTGATGATTGCGGACCTCGAACCCCATCTCGAACACTGAATTGTGAGAACCTCGAGTTGATCACGCGGAATTCAACGTTGAAGCCCGAGTGTATCGTTGGCCTATTCCCTGTCCAGCACGATTTTTCCAAGGGATAAGTTTATAGACTCCGCTTCGGGTTGAAAACCCTGCGTTTTCACGATTGTATCACCACGCACCTCGTTCCGAAGCTTGAGGGTGATTCGCATAAGGGCCCGATGCTGTGGGTACATATATGACGCAGCGTGAGATAGCTAAACTTGGCGCCGAGAGGGCCGAGGCCGAGGCCGCTCAGCGGCCCGGTGTAGAACCAGAGCCTGGATGCAACGGAGCGAAAAAATGATTTGTTTATAGCCTGGTATTTCTCTCCTGGTCCTCCTCTCTCTCCCCCCCCCCCACCCCCCCCCTCGCCCCCTTCATATAAGAGGCGGCGTACCGCTCGTTTAGGCTTCGTTAATTTTTTTGTTTTGAACATTTGTTTCCCTATAAAGGAGGCTCGCAGGCTCCTCTCGGAGCGAAACTGCAGACGACGACAACGACGACGCTGGCCACAGTGCACTCACGTCCAGAAGAGCCCCGAAAGAGGCATGGCCTCGAAAGGGCTGACTGCTGAGCAGCGCCTGACGAACTTGGAAGAGTTCATGCAAGATGTCAGTTCGGTCACCCGAATTCGGTTGGAGCACTTTCCAAAAGTGCTGGAGCTGTGCGTGGAGGCCGCTAAAACTCGCCAGTTTTGGGCATGAAGCAGAAGCTTGCTGAGACTGAGACCCTGCTGCATGACCTCGAACCTTTCCTCCCTTCCCTGTTTCAAGATCTAAGTCTAAGTCAGATTCGTGGCGAGCTTACGGAATCATTGCGCGGAGTGGATGGTCGCGGTGTTTGCAGTTGCAAACCGCACATTTAATATGAAGATGCCAAGATCTTGGACATCAGGATGCGGTTCGGGTTGCAAGCCCTACGGCTGCACGACCTTGTAAAGATGAGCTGAGTCCCAGCTCAAGACCCCGCTCTGCAGTTGTGGATTCCCATGACGCCTAAGGAAATGGAGCGACAGCGGGCCAAGCAAGCCAGAGTTGCCAAGTTGGAAATTTCAAAGTGATGTGCTAGCATGCTTCCGAGGCAAAGCGCAGACAAACCCACCATGCGCGTGAATTCAATCATGTTCATGAACCTATCTGTCGCGGCAATGACTCTCACTTTTGTTTGCCCTTCCTGCCTGCGCAGCTTCCCACCAACCACCTCTGACGACACCATTGCCCAACACCGAAAAATATGCGCTGTCCCTGGAGAAGCCGCTTCTCGACCTGTCGCGTCTTCTTGAAATGCCCACGGTGCTCCTCACGGTTCACCCCGGCGAAGTCCCATCTCCACCATGAGCAATGTAGGGGATCCGCCCAGGCCAACAAACTTTACTCAAAATGCTCGCTGTTGTCCAGACCATATTGATGCCCGACTCAAACACGAAAAACCTTGTCGAGGTTCCGTCCAGGTAGACCTGTCCTGCGTCCAATGCTCTCGCACCTTTGACACCTTCACCAGTCGCACTGCACACGGACACAGTTGTAGCCGTTAGCCCGTCAAGTCCTGTTTGCAGGACGTATACAGTATACAGACTGCGTATTGCGTACCTGTTGGGATGGATATGGCCCCTCTCGAGTTGCTCCCACGCGAGTACCTGGCGGCAACCGACGCGCGAACGAACAACGAAAAACAAACAAACAAATTAGTTATTTTACTTCGAGTGTTCTCACCATGACATTTCAATCTGACAAACCTTTTGGCATGTATTGAAGCAGTAGTTTGGCGTCTTTCTGGCATGACTTCTGACATTCTTTCTGGCATATCTTCTGACATACATTCTTTCTGGCGTCGGCGTTCTTTCCGGCATATCTTCTGACATTCTTTCTGGCATCTCTTC